CCCTCCTTTCTCCTATCGTTCGCGCTTCATCTTCCCACCCAAATTCAATCACCTGATGATCCGATCCCCCGGTCTCCCCTGTCTCTCTTATCCTGACATTCAATGCTTCCTCTGCCGTGGTAATGACGAGATCTATATTGGACGCTACCTGGTCCGGCCTTCCTATTCTGGACAGTGTTCCAAAATTCACCACCACCATGTTTTCCTCGTCCAACACCTCTTCCAGGACCTCCCCCGCAACATCGCTACTCTCACAATTCCAACTCCTACTCTTTGCATTAAAATCTCCTATAAAAATCCTCTTATTTCCTGCCCTCGCATTCCTAAAAAGTCTCCTACATTCCTCCTTACTTAACCCCGTTCCCGGTCTCCTATACACCAGTACTATTTCTAATTTCCCTCTCATCGTTTTTATTTCTACACACATGTTTTTCCACTTACTATTATTTCTAAGGTACACTCCTGTGTTTAACACCTTAATATTTTCCCTAACCATCACGCACATACCCCCACTTCTATTCTCCGTCTCACTATCCTTCCTGATTACATGCCATCCTGGTATTCTAAACATCTCCTCCGGCCTCAACCAGGTTTCTACTATCGCTAGCACATCCAAACCTTCTGTCAACCTTCTAACTTCCTCCCTCTTATTTCTGACACTTCTCGCATTCCATACGCCACACTTCATTTTTCCCCCTTCAACGTAATACTATTCATTCTCCACTTCCCACTCAATTCCCCACAGACACCATTTCTCCTTTCCCAATCATAAAAAAGAAACAACATAAAACAAAAGAAAATTAAAGAAAAACTTAAACTGAAACTGTCTTTGTTCCTATCGACAATCATAACACAAAACAAAATTAATAAAAAAGAACTAAAACTGAACATAAGCATACGCTATTCCTCTTGATTCCTTACTACAGTGGAAGAAAACAAAAAACCCACTTCCCTTTCCTAATCTCCGCATAAACTTTTCATATTTCATACTTAGGAACTAATATTTGTATTTTATAATGCACCCTATAAAGAGTTTGTCTCTTACTCAACATATTTCCTTACATCCTATTTTCCTTAACTCTATCCCTAACGTTCTCATATACTTCACGCTTGTACTTAAAACTAATTCTCATAAATCTCTTTTCTTTGGTCACAATCCTAATCCTATCCTTACAACTAAACTTACATACTAAAGTAAAAAAACTTAAACCTAAATTTCGCATCGTCTTATAGTTTTTAAGCTTTATATCGTTTCCGTATCTTACGCTCGCCCTTACTCTATTGTCTTTTTTATTCCCTTCTTTGCAAATCACTCTTACTTTCACTTCCTTCCTTATCACAATTTCTGACCTCCCCACTCTCATATTTCCTCCATTTTCACAACTCCTCACTTCTTCCAACGCTTCTACCATTTCTCCTCCTCTTCTCTCTTCTTCTCCTGTTCAACACCTTCATCTCTCTTCGTCTTCTTCCTTCCTTCCATTATCTGCACCTTCTTCCACCCTCCTCCTTTCTCTTTCTCTCTCTTGTTCTTCCTCTCTTCTTCTCTCCCGTATTCTATTCCTCCTTTCTATATCCTCTTCCCTCATTCTTTCTACCTTTTCCTCTATCTCTCTCTTCTCTCTTAACTTCTCCCTCTCTTTTTCCGCCTTTCTTTCCATTTTTTCCCTCGTTCTTGAATCCACATACATCTCAAAAGGGGGGGTAGTTACTGCATCCCAATCCTCATTCGGATCAAACATCACTGTCCTCTTTGCTCTGTATTTCCTTGTCCTAATTATTTCATGGAATTTTCCTCCCAAGTTCTTCTCGTTTAACATCTTTATAACCTCCTCCAAGATTTCATCCTCTTTCCTCTTCTCAAGCTCTGCTAACCACTCCCTATTCATCTCCTTCTCCCTCCTTATCCTCCTCCTCTCCTTTTCCATCTCGTTCTTATTCAGTGCAAAATTCAGTTTTTCATATTCGCATTCACCTTCGGGTTCCTCCCCCGCCAACAGATGAGGGAGCGGTATTCTTTTCAGAATTTGTATTCCCCCTTCCCCTTCCTTCTTCGCTTTCTCTGTCTTTTCTTTACATTCCAGGCATAAATACCTGTTTTTTGACAAGACTTTGTCAATTTTCTCTTTGAAACACGGGGGTGGGGGTTTTTCTCCCCTCTTCACCAGTCTCCAATCTCCTTCACCATCCTTCTCTCCTGCCTGTGCTTCTCCTCCTGATCCTTCCTCTTCATTTCCTCTTCTTTCTTTCCCTCCTTCTCCTTCCTGCTCGTTTAGTCCCCTTCTCGCTACTTCACTAAACGATGCCCCTTGCCCTCTCTGGCCCCTAAATCTTTCGTTTTCTCTCCCGTTCCCATATCTTAATCTTCTCATCAATTCTAACTCTCTCTGGATCGGAACTTCTTTTTTCTCCCAGAACTCCCTCTTTTCCTTCACAATCAGTGCTGGAAAATCTCCGCTACTTCCAGCCACTTCTTCTACTCCTCCCACTATATCCGTCTCTCTCTCTCCCGCTGATCTCGCCACTATTCCCCTTGCAGTCTCAAATTCGACATTCTTGGACGCTATTACCTTCCTTATAGCAGCTTCGCGCTGCCACACCCAGCACATCCTGGCAAGCGAACCGTGATCCCCTCCACAGTTAACACACTTTAGTTTTTTATCACACGCCCTATGATACTTGTCCCCATATATCGCACACCTATTATCTTCCTCCCTACATGCCGCCTGGTAATGTCCGAATTTAAGGCACTTATAGCATTGTTTAACCGGTTCCACATATGGTTCAATTTTTATGTCTATGTGTCCCTGTCCTATCAATAGTCTTGTCGGCAATATGCTACCTTTAAAAGTGATCATTATTGTTTTCATCACCTGATATGTCACCTTTCCATCCACCACTCTCCTTTTCTTCATCCTTTCTAACGTGAAAACTCCCTGTCCCGGCATCGCCTCCTCCTGTAGCTCCTCGACCGAGTCTTCCCACTCGTATATTATACCCCTTCGGTACGCCATTCTTCTCGGCAAAAAAGTCGTCACCGGTCCTTCTTTCTTGCTATACTTCTTCAACAAGCCGTTTGCCTCCTCCCTCTTCTTCGTAGATATTTCTGCCCTGTTACAACCAACCATCCTGATAGTGTGTATTTTAACCCCAGCCCCTTGAACCAATCTATAAATCTTTATAAGATTGTTTCTTTTGGATCTACTTATCTTATTTTTTAACGCAACGCATACCACGTATTCGTCCCATTTTACTTCGTCTCCATATAACTCTAACTTCCACTCCCTACCATTTACTATTCTCCTATTAATCTCTTCTTTACCCGCCGTCTTTGTGTTTGCCATGTGTTCTTCCCCATCCCTTTTGTCCTCTATTATCCTATTACTATTATCTACTTGTTTCTTATTTTCTATACTACTAACATTGTCTTTACTATCCCTCTTATAACTATTTATACAGTATTGATTCGTAACAAGCAACAGTTTTGTGATTCGTAACAAGCAAATTTCTATCCCCTCTTCTTTGTTTGAAGTCGACCGCCGAGTGAGAGATCTGAGAAAGAGTGAGAGGTCCGTGAAACCGAAGAAGTCATAAATTTTCACGGATGACCGAACAGTTTAATGGAAAGAGGACAGAACATATATATTCTTTTCTCACTCTGATGCATAGCGATTCTGTCGTTCATTCATCTAATTCTACATCGATTCGTAATAAGCCACTGGCTCGTGTTTGGGCAGTTGCTTGTTACGAATCTGGTATATCATTCCATTCACGAAAATTTACTACTATTAAAAAGAAAAAGCATGCTATGTTCTGTCCTTGTCTAAAGAATAACATCGCTGCTCGACCGATTACTTTATAGTTTACCGCTACCGTCGTCGCGCTCGGGAACAAAGACAAGCCGAAAATATACCTGATTCGTAACAAGCAACTCGCCAAACCCGAGCGAGTTGCTTATTACGAATCAATACTGTACTACCTAAAGCGTCCTCTCGCACTTCCTTCGTATAAACGTCTTTCACTGTTTCGCCTTCCTTTGTTTCGATCGACCTTTCTACAACGCACTCTGTATCACAATGGCCGATTTCTGTGGCGTCGTCGCGCAGTTCCCCACGCTCCCGCTTCTTACCGTTCAGCGCCACCAGCGTTGGCGCTTCCACGCTTACCAACTTAACCGTGGTACCCTCTCCAATCACCAGTCGTTCTCGCTCCTGGTTGGTCAGTTCCCTATTTTCCACTATCCTAACCTTTCCTACCCTTTCTGCCCCTCTTCTCTTCCTCTCATCCTCGTGCTGTTCTTCTTCCGTTTCCGCTTCTCTCATCCTTTTCTTACATTCCTCCGTCTCCATTCTCTCTCCTTCTTTCTCTTCTTCTCTTTCTTCCTCCTTCTCTAGCTTTTTCCTCTCCTTTACCGCCACTGCTAGTACTACTTCTTTCTCCTCCGCTAGAAACTCCAGCGCCCAGTCCTTCCTCAAACTCCTCAAAACCTCATTTTCCTCCTCTTCTCTCCTTTCCTTTCTATCGCCTTCCAAACAACACCGTCTCCTCTTTAACTGCCTTGTTACGGCCTACCCGCGTAAAGGTAGGCAACTTCCTTACCATATACCAACGATCCCCCTCCCAGGTGACGTAGGGCCCTACGTCACCTGGACGTAGGACAAAACCGCGGATAACGGGTCGCGCTAGGCAGAAAACCATTCTCGTTAAGTGCGACAAGACAAAGAGCGAGCGTAAACGTTTAAATAAGTATTTTTCTGTATTCTTTATTGTTTTGTTAATTTAGCGTTCGTACAATTGTAATTTGTTTAAACCGTGAAGTTCCTTGTTCGTCGTAATTATTGTTGTCAATTAAACTGTAAATCGAAACGTGTGCTGTTTGTTTCTCTCGAACACTTTTCCTCATCGTTGCGTAAATTCTTTCACTTCTTGCCGAAACATTTTTTGGTCCTTCGAGCCGGATAAACCGCGTCTCTCTTCTGTCTACGAAGGAAGTGAAAGAAAATTCTTAGTGAAAGTGTTTCGTTACCGGTACACCGCGTTGCGTTAACGGTTGCAGTTTAAAACTTGAGCGTGCTCGACCTCTGTGAACAGTGACCTTTCAACCGAACAACTCTATTGGTGCGTAAAACATAAAACCGTTACCAGTTCAAAATGTCGACGATTAACAGCCTGATAGATCGCCAAATCGAGCTTTTCTCATCGATAAGTCGTACAATCGTCAACTTAAAAAAGAAAGGAGAAGCCAACATCACTGAGGAGTACATCAAATCCCGCTTAGCAGCTCTACAAAATAACTGGAACTTGTTTCAAATTAATCATTCAAAAATCACCGACCTAAAAACGGAAGCCGTAAAAACCTCATCGTACTTTTCCGAAGATCTTCTTTCGCAATGCGAGGAAATGGTGATCAACAATCAGGCGACTCTGCGTGAGTATTTGGCAAAATTCGAAGTTAAATCGAAATTAGCACCTAATGACAATACTAACAACAAACGCGTTTTTTACCTCAATTATCGCTACCTAAATTCTCTGGAAACCGCGTCTCTCTTCTGTCTACGAAGGAAGTGAAAGAAAATTCTTAGTGAAAGTGTTTCGTTACCGGTACACCGCGTTGCGTTAACGGTTGCAGTTTAAAACTTGAGCGTGCTCGACCTCTGTGAACAGTGACCTTTCAACCGAACAACTCTATTGGTGCGTAAAACATAAAACCGTTACCAGTTCAAAATGTCGACGATTAACAGCCTGATAGATCGCCAAATCGAGCTTTTCTCATCGATAAGTCGTACAATCGTCAACTTAAAAAAGAAAGGAGAAGCCAACATCACTGAGAAGTACGTCAAATCCCGCTTAGCAGCTCTACAAAATAACTGGAACTTGTTTCAAATTAATCATTCAAAAATCACCGACCTAAAAACGGAAGCCGTAAAAACCTCATCGTACTTTTCCGAAGATCTTCTTTCGCAATGCGAGGAAATGGTGATCAACAATCAGGCGACTCTGCGTGAGTATTTGGCAAAATTCGAAGTTAAATCGAAATTAGCACCTAATGACAATACTAACAACAAACGCGTTTTTTACCTCAATTATCGCTACCTAAATTCTCTGGAATTACCAAGGAGTGGACTCCATTTCGTGATCTTTTTGAGTCTATGGTAGTTAACAACGCTACAATACCAGAAGTTGAAAAGTTTCATTATTTGAAACTAAGTGTTACCGGTGAAGCCACTCAACTAATAAATAATTTAGTCGTTACCGGAGACAATTTTAAACTTGCGTGGCAACTCATTTCAGACCGTTATGAAAACCGCCGCGTCCTTGTCGACGCACAATTAGAATTGTTGTTTTCGCTCAAAAGGTCGTCGCGCGAATCTACCGCCGAGCTAAAACGGTTACACGGCACAACAACAGAAGTCCTTGGCGCACTCAAGGGTTTAAAATGCGACACAAGTAACTGGGTTCCTTTTATTGTCTATTGGGTGTCTCGTAAATTCGACTCCGACACCTTACGTGAGTGGGAATTGCACATCTGCAACTCGACTGACCTGCCGACTATTGCTCAGCTAAATGAATTCCTGGTGCGGCATATTCGTGCACTGGAATCGATGGAACGAGCCTACGTGGTGCAAGCGCCGGCCAAACCGCGACTCTTCAAGCCTCAAGCGCATCAGGTCACGGTTTCTGGAAACCCATGTCCGGCCTGCAAATCGTCGCACGCATTAGCATCATGTCCGAGCTACCTCGCAAAATCAGCAGAGCAGCGCAAGGCCTTCGTCACTCAACTTCTGCTGTGCTTCAATTGCCTAGGTAACCATCCAAGAAAAGCTTGTCGCTCAAAAGGTCGTTGCAACGTTTGCAGAGCTCGCCATCATACGTCGCTACACGATACTCCGAACGCTACCACCTCGTCGCCAACGGTTTCAAGTAATGGAAAGACGCCTACCCAAGCACAATCTTCGGAACCAGCAACCGTCCTCCACGTTGCGAAGAATGGCACTCCTCGAGGGCAAAACGTCCGAATTCTGCTGGCCACCGCGCTCGTCAAGGCGTCTTCATTCTGCGGTGAATCCAGCGTCATCCGGGTCCTCCTAGATCAAGGCTCCGAGGTGTCCTTCGTGACTGAAAGCCTCGTTCAGCGCCTGCAGCTTCCACGTCGCCACGCCACTGTTCCAGTTCGCGGCATCGGAGCTGGCACAACTGTCGTAACGCGAGGCTACACAACAATCAACATCACGTCGCTTACAAACTCTGCCTTTAGCTGCAAGGTAAGAGCGTTTATATTACCGAAACTAACTACCTACGTTCCAAATCAAACATGCAACATTGTGGACCTGCCTCACTTGCAAGGGCTGACATTGGCGGATCCCGACTTCTCCGTACCCCTCCAAGTCGATCTGGTAATAGGAGTGGAAATATATAGCCAAATCCTTCTCTCCGAGGTCATCCGGGGGCCGCCATTCACGCCCATTGCGCAACGCACACAGCTAGGCTGGATCGTCACAGGTCCAACTCCGTCCAACGACAGTGACTTCCAGTCCGCTAAAACAACGAGCCTACAATGCTGCGTGGATCGTGAGTTAGTCGACCTTATGCAGCTCTTCTGGCAACAAGAAGAATATGCGGATTGTAAGCTACACATTTCCGAAAAAAATTTAGAGTGCGAGAATCATTTCGTAGCCACGCATACTCGCGACAACACCGGACGATTCGTAGTTCGTTTACCTTTTGCTTGCGATGTAAACACTCTCGGTAACTCTCGAAATTCTGCGTATTTCCTACTCCGTAAAACCGAAGAACGGCTCGCCGCAAACACTGCACTGCGTCAAGCGTATTCTCTTTTTCTCAACGAATATGAAAAGCTCGAGCACATGCGTCGCGTTACGTCAACTAATAATCAATCTTCTCTCTCAGTATTTTTGCCTCAACACTGCGTTTTGCGTGAATCTAGTACGACTACAAAAATTCGCGTTGTCTTCAATGGGTCGCATCCTACTTCGACCGGCGTGTCGCTAAACGACTGCCTGCACACAGGTCCAAAAATTCAAAATGATTTAGCAGACGTTTTGTTAAGATGGCGTCAATAGGCCTACGCATTTTCTGCCGACATAGAGAAAATGTATCGTCAAATACGGGTGCATGAAGACGAATGCAGTGCATTCTTTGGCGACACGACACGTCAGCTCCCGTGCAACTACGCGTTAACAACAGTAACTTACGGACTCGCGTGCGCCCCGTTCCTAGCTCTTAGATGCTTGCGTCAACTCGTGGAAGACAACGGAAAAGTTCTACTTCTCGCGAGTTCGATTTTATTAGAAGAAACTTACGTTGACGACATATTATCAGGAGCTCACAGCGTTACGGAAGGGCAAGAGAAAATTCGTCAACTTAACGAACTCCTTAGCAAGGGTTGTTTCCACCTTCACAAATGGATAGTTAGCTGTGACGATCTCTTAAAACTATCTGTCGAACTTTTCCGTTCGAATGGCAAGCGCGACATAAACATCGACACTTCGCATCGAGCGTTAGGCCTTGCGTGGAATGTAAACAACGATGCATTTCTATTTACCTTTTGTTACGACGGTTCTCATCCTGTTTCGAAGCGTAGCGTGTTATCGACAAGCTCGCAACTGTTTGATCTTCTTGGTTTGATAGCACCAATAATCGTAAGGGGCAAGATCATGATGCAGGAGTTGTGGACCATGAAAATAGGGTGGGATGATCGCCTTCCTTCAGAACTTGCTAAGCAATGGAAAAATTTTTGTATTAGTCTCAGTGATTTACGTTCAATATCAATCCCACGGTGGAGCGGATTCTCACCTTCACTACTAACCGTTGAGCTTCACGGGTTTTCGGATGCGTCGTCGTTGGCCATGGAAGTCGCGATCTATTTACGTACGGTCACTAGCGAAAATGAGGTACGGATTTCGTTATTAGTTGCAAAAACAAAAGTAGCACCGATCAAACGCGTCACTATTCCGCGACTCGAGTTAACCTCTGCCGTATTGCTCGCTCGTCACATTAAACGTGTACGTACCGTTTTAAAACTCCAACATGTTCCTGTGCACTTATGGACAGATTCCACGGTTACCCTCGCTTGGATTCGTAGTCATCCATCGCGTTGGAAAGAATACGTACAGAACCGCGTTGCCGAAATTCAAACTTTAATTCCGGACGCGTCGTGGCATCATGTCCCAGGAAGCGAAAATCCGGCAGACAGCGTCACGCGGCACCACTCCCGACCAATTGCTTCATTCCGACCTGTGGTGGCCAGGTCCCGAGTGGCTCAAGCGTCCGTCTCCCGCGTGGCCGACGGAAATTCTCGAACCCGACGATCGGATTAATGAAGAGGTACGATCGGGGAAACAAATCGTTACGTCGGTACTCGCGAATCAGGAACCGTCTACTAGTCTAATTACGCGCTATTCGTCTCTCACAAAATTGTGCCGAATCACCGCATGGTGCTTTAGAGCGATATCACAATTTCGTTCAAAATCTTCGCGCGCTCCTGTAGCTCCCAGGTTAAGTGTCGGTGAAATCCACAACGCGCGTCTTCATTGGGTTAAAGAAACCCAACACGAAGTCTTTCCTGAAGAGATCAAATTGTTACAGTCCGGGTCTCCTGTTGCAAAATCGAGCTGCATTAAAAATCTCTTGCCGTATATTGATGAAACCGGTATTCTGCGAGTAGGCGGTCGTTTACAGCACTCTCTTCTGCTTCATGATCAAAAAAATCCAATCATTCTTCCGCGTGCCTCTCCATTCACTACGCTCGTCATTGATCACGCACACAAGTCAGCATTACACGCGGGGCCACAATTAACACTCGCGACACTTCGTCAAAACTACTAGATTGTTGGTGGTCGTAGCCCCGTCCGTATGTTTATAAACCGTTGCGTAGTCTGTATACGACACCGAGCTCGCACTTCGGCTCGATACATCGCCCTTTTTGTTTGTTTCGCGACCGGCGCTGTTCATTTAGAACTCGTTTCCGACTACACGTCCAACGCGTTTATTGCGGCGCACAAGCGATTTAGTAGCCGCCGTGGTATACCTGTCACTATCACTAGCGACTGCGGAACAACACTAGTCGGGGCGGATAAAGAATTACGCCGAATGTTTATAGAAGCGTCGCGCGATGACAAAATTTCAGACGATCTCGCTAACGACGGCACAGAATGGAAATTCAACCCACCTTCAGCTCTCCATTTCGGCGGCAAATGGGAAGCCGCAGTCAAATCTGTGAAATTCCATCTCCGCCGTGTGGTGGGGGACACGTCGCTGACTTTCGAAGAATTTTCCACTCTTCTCATTCAAATTGAAGCGGTCTTGAATTCGCGTCCGCTGTGCCCTCTTAGCGATGACCCGTCTGACTTATCGGCGTTAACTCCCGGTCATTTTTTGGTAGGAAGTGCGCTCACAGTTGTCCCGGAACCTACACTTTGTCAACTTCCGACATCGCGCCTGTCTCGGTGGCAGCTTTTGCGAAAATTTACAGAACAAATTTGGAAGCTCTGGTCTCGAGACTATCTCATATCTCTGTTACCTGCAAAAAAATGGCAGCAAAATCGAGAAGCTATTCAGCTTGGCACTCTCGTATTAGTCAAGGACGAACGCACTCCTCCAACAAAATGGCCACTCGGACGCGTTACTCAATTAAATCCCGGGCAGGACGGAATAATACGTGTGGTCACTGTGCGCACAGCGAACGCCAATCTTGTTAGACCTATAGTCAAGCTCTGTCCGCTCCTCAATGAAAGTTATTGTACACCCGGCGATAAAACGCGAAACTAACGTTTACTGTGCTGCTGTATCGTTTCCGTGTTGCGAACATCGTTCAGCAACGGGGGGGAGAATGTTACGGCCTACCCGCGTAAAGGTAGGCAACTTCCTTACCATATACCAACGATCCCCCTCCCAGGTGACGTAGGGCCCTACGTCACCTGGACGTAGGACAAAACCGCGGATAACGGGTCGCGCTAGGCAGAAAACCATTCTCGTTAAGTGCGACAAGACAAAGAGCGAGCGTAAACGTTTAAATAAGTATTTTTCTGTATTCTTTATTGTTTTGTTAATTTAGCGTTCGTACAATTGTAATTTGTTTAAACCGTGAAGTTCCTTGTTCGTCGTAATTATTGTTGTCAATTAAACTGTAAATCGAAACGTGTGCTGTTTGTTTCTCTCGAACACTTTTCCTCATCGTTGCGTAAATTCTTTCACTTCTCATGCCTCTTCTCCTCTTTCTTCCAACTTTCTTCACTGCTCATCGCCTTTTCCCATTTTCTGAATTCTTCTATCCTCTCTCCTTTCCCTCCTGCTTCTTTCACCTTCTTCCCTCCTCTCTATTGTTCCCCTGGTTAATGCACAACCAGGGGAGCGACTTGTCTTCATACACTCACCAAAAGTCTAATTCTTATCTATCCGCCAAACCTAAACTTTCCATCTCTTCCAATCACCTCTATGTCTTCTTCCTCACCTCAAAGCAGATATAAACACCGAAAATCAAACCAAAAAACACAACAAAAACCGAGTCCGTTCTAAAAGCGTCCTACTTGTATGCCGCCATCTTTGCTTCTCCCCAGTCGTAATGAAGATCTCGTACACAACGGCACGCGTAGTTACTATCCTTCCCCACACTATATTCAGGATGATAACCATGTACGTTCACGTTACAATAGTATAAGGTATGGATGTGTGAGAGTGGCGCTGCTAACCCGTACTAGGGAAATGTAAGGTTATTGTATTGGGCAGAATGAGCCCCATCGGGGCTCAAGCGTCCTCTTCTCTGGAAGAAAAATTAAAAAAATTAAAAAATAAATTTAGAAAAATAAAAAAGTAAGATTGGAATTAACTCGAATAGATGTTTTAAATAACTTTAATATAATACAGTCTTTCTCGCTATTTTACAATTTCACACGTTGCGCCGAAAATTACTTTCACTCTCTGTTCTCGCTACTCACTTTGTCCTCATGCATCCTTCGCAAATATACTCCTCGTTCACCCACATTCTCAAATACACAGACTCTCAGGTTATCGCACTCAATATCTCTTTCTCACTTTTATTATCATTCGCACTCTCTTTCACTCTCTCTCGGTCATTCACCTGTCGCTTGTTGATGGTATTTTGACAGTTCATCGGTGGCCCTAACGACAGCTGGTATCTGCATTTCTTATTGCCGTTGTTTACATCTTAACTGTCGCTGGTTTAAATAGTAACGGCTTATACTCCTACAAAACTAACTAGATAGTTTTTTATTTTCTTTCTCGGAAGATGGCGACTTTGGCCAAACTCTTGTGGCGACTGTACCGACAGCGACATATGCGCCCTCTGGACAGTTCCTATTTTTAGTTACTTTTTATTTCTTAGGTTAAGCTGTAAATAGTAGTTGGTAAGACTAGTTTATAAGGAACGCGGCGCGAAAAAGAAGAACATCGTTCTTCCACTTCTTGTACGAAAGCGAAAGAGTCTACACGTGCGCGAATTAATAAAAAGTGCAATACTTGCAAATAGCAAGAAAAGTCGTCGTGCGTCATTTCCTACATCGGGCTCTCCTTCACGAACCTCAGTCCCCACATAATTGGTGCCGAAACTGGTGAAATTTTATAAAAGGAGAGAAAAATGAGTACGGAAGAAAGTGCAACCGACGCACCGGCGGACGCCACGCGGCATGAGATACAGGCAAGTGAATTTCGGAACGTAAAGCTTCCTGCGTTCTGGAAAGAAGAACCGCGCTTGTGGTTTATCATGCTAGAAAGAGAGTTCGCAGCATACGGCGTGCGAGCCGATGCCGTAAAAAGCTCCGCGGTTGTCCGAAGTTTAGATCAGGACACGATGATCGTACTAGATGTAATATAGGCCCCGCCGGATAAAAGTACATATAATGATATAAAACGCGCATTGATAGAAAGGCTAGCCAGGTCGGACGAAGCCAACTTAAGACATCTCCTATCTGGCCTTGAAGTGGGCAACAGAAGACCGTCCGAGCTCCTAAGGGAGATGAGCCAGCTCGCGGGGGCGAACGTTGGGGAGAGCGCACTCCGCGCGCTGTGGATCCAGCGGCTTCCGGGCAGGGTGCAGGAGATCCTG